GTTTCTTTTTCCCTTTAATCGTCTTCTTCTCCTGCCATGCCAATTTAGTTGATCAATAGAAAAAAGTCTTAAATAAAAGAATTGATATAATTATTTTCGAATTAGAAAACTTTCTCTCTTTTTCTGTTTCGATATATACGCGTGTCGTTAATTGAACACTTCATTTCCTGCGAAATTAAACACAACTTTTTATTTTTTTCATTCTCTGTCTCATATCAATTGTCATTGTTGAAACCCTCGAGGACAATTAAACGTATATATATATATATATATTGTCGTTTGTGCATGTTCACACCATTGTACATAGTCATCATCATCAACAAATTGATGAAGAGTAAAGTGGAAAAAATAGTCAGGTGACTAAAGTGTGAATCAAAACATAATCGAAATTGAATCGTTTTATTGGAAAAACTATCAAAGTATATATATGTATATATCTATGTAATTTTATTTATTTGATTTTCATATATAGTATAGATATAAAAAAGAAAGAAGCAAAATCTAGTTGTTTTTAATGAAGTTCGTACATACACCGGACTTGATTTTTATTTCTTATTTGTGTATACAAAAATTGATCTTGATTAATCTTCATAATCATAACTGTTGATGTTTGACTAAAATATAGAAAATAATAATAGTTGTTTCATATTTAATTTAAGAACAAAAACATGCTGTGTTTTACATGCAGCATATCTAGGGTGCTACTGATGTGATATTTAATATCATAGTAGATGATATTATAATGCTCGGATTTGTTTCAGTTTGATAGTATGTTAGTTTATCTAGTATTCAATAGAAGTAAAATGATTTTTGATTTCTAACTGTATGAAAAAATATTTACCTGTTGTTTTACTGTCAATCGTTGCTATCGTGGTATTTGACAACGGTGAGTAATGATCGGATAATTTTAAAGTATTAGTTGACATTTTGTCGACAGTATCTGGTATTGTTATCAGCTTATTATTAACTTGTTCTGAACTGGACGACTGAAGTAATACAGATGGTGAGTCTGCTGGTGAACTAGTACTTGAAGAAATAACATCTATCTTATCACTTAATGTTGTGGTTTTTGTAGAACTCAATTCAGCATGAGTAATGGTATCTTGATTCGTGTATGAATCAGTCGTTCTTTCAAGATTAACGACAGATGATAATATTTTAGAGCTTGATAGTAGATCTTTTGATGTTGAAGATAAAGTTGTAGAAAATATTATTTGTTCTGAAATGTCTTTTGAATGATCAAATAATATTTCTAAAATTGAAGTTGTTGTTTCGAAGTTCTTTTGTGAAGATCGATCTACGAAATTGTTCGAAATTGATGACGATATTGAGTTTATTACAGGCGCAGTCGTTGTATCTGTATTAGCTTCACTTTGCGATAAAGTTACTATTGCACTATTAGTAGTGGTTGTTATCAATTTATTCTGAACTTGTTCTGAACTGGACGATTGAATTAATACAGATGGTGAGTCTGTTGGTGGACTAATACTTGAAGAAATAATATCTATCCTATCATTTAATGCTGTGGTTTCTGTAGAACTCAATTCAGCATGAGTAATGGTATCTTGATTCGTGTATGAATCAGTCGTTCTTTCGAGATTAACGACGGATGATAATATTTTAGAACTTGATAGTAGATCTTTTGATGTTGATATTTCCATAGCTGAGGTTGAAGATAAAGTTGTAGAAAATGTTATTTGTTCCGAAATATCTTTTGAATGGTCAAATAATATTTC